GGGGGGGGGGGTAAGGAAAAAAACCAAAAAAAAATCCCATTTGCTTTTACATTATTTTAGACTCCAACATTTTGCTTCTTTTGCATTTTAAATAGCTGCTGCTCCACAGGCCCATTATTCAGAGCCTGTATGGTCCACACACAGCCGACGGAAGCAAGGTTTCCCCTGGCTGAACTCACTAAGCTTCATTCGGTGACAGATAAACTTTGTGTATCGTGGTTAGCGTGAGACAGAGCTATTTTCAGCAGGATGTGCTGGTTTGCACCAGACTTGTATCTCTGAAACCAAGAGGGAATTAATTTCCTTTAAAACTGACCAGTATCCCTTTGGACTTGGAAATGAAGACCAAGAGCTAGCAAGGACAGAGACAGCTGAAGCTAAGTAGAGACTCCACTAGGTATCCTGAGAAGAAGACAGCTATCTGTGGGCTCTGTAGAATAATTGACGGTGGCAGATGAGCTAGAGCTTGCAGCATACATGCACAGCTGTGTGTACGGTAGAGTGATGTATCCTTATCACAAGTGACAGCAGGCAAGAAGCAGAAACAGCTTACCTTGTTTACAGCCATGGGAACCCACCATACACCTAAACTGCCTTGCTAGCAACCTAGTGATAGTATTACTCCTGGCTATACCATGCTCTTCAGGCAAAAGAAACAGCTCAGCATGACTAGCCATACTTCTTGAACCCCTATCTGAGAGCTGAGAGGGAAATGCAGAAGCACTAGGACAAAGATGCCAGTTCAGGGCGATGCAGGAGATCTGCAAAGAGAGCTAATGCAGAGGCAAAAGCAGCAGTGTATTCATTGGCAATAAATCCTTCCTGGCAATGTGCTGCTCCTGTCCTGCTGCCTCTGTTCCACTGCACAGGTCGTGTTGGCTTGGGCAAACAAGCAAGCAGGAGCAGAGTAGAGCAGGAAGGTTAACCCTGCGACAGGCCCGTTCAGAACAGACATGTTCTGGGAGGTTTCTGGCGCCAGCTATTCTCAGCGCTGGTAAAAAGAGTGACTCTAAATACAGAAGCCCCTAGTTTACCATTCAATAAGCTGCAACAAAGGGGAGACCCCTGCTCACTGACTTTATTAAGGTCAAAAGAAGATGGTTTTTCAGAGTGTATAGAAAGCTACTGTTTCAATGGGCTCCAGAAGGGGTTTTCATGTCAATTATCTTTTGGTGATCTTGATGATCTTCAGGGTCCCTTCCAGCCCTAATGCCTATGAAATAATGTCTCTGAAAGCCTCCCCAAAGCACACACATCCAAGAGAAATTGGCTGGTTACCCACTACCATACAGGTCGAAGTATCTTAGTATGCCTCTGAATAGTCCAACTGTCTGCACCGTCATGTGTGGCACACTCCCTGTCTGAGCTTTGCAAGGGTTCCAGGCAATTATTACTTGTCTGAAATACTACATACATAGATAGCATCCTCTGTTAACCTCTTCAGTGGCTTTGAAAGTAAGCTTTTGGCTGCATGATTTCATTGTGCTTTCATAGCAGCTGTGTTCTGATATGTTTTCTCTTGAGCTGTTTGCTTTAGCATCACATCATCTGCTTGACTGGGTCTCTCCAATAAGAGACTTGTCTAATACTCACTCTGTTCAGAGCATCAAAAATGGAAGGCACACACCAAAAGAACCCAAACTGGCACAGAAATCAGGGTAGGACCCGTGCCTGGAAATACACAGTTTCCCTATAGCTGTTTAGGAACCCCCAGTTATACCAGTGTAAAAGCACTTCTGCTGGTATAACATATCAGTTAAGGACCAGATGTAAACTATGCTACTAAGTCATCTTGGTACCATCGTGCCTGTATCTGTACTAGGAATTTTACTGGTATAATTCTGCCAGCAACAACAAAAATTTGATACCCCTAGCTAACATAATTAGGCCAGTAAAATATAACTATAGACTGAATTACCTCAAAAGAAGAATATCACAATACAAATCTAATCCAACTCAACTTACAGGACTACAAAGCACAGGAGAAGAGATACTATGTCCTGCTGTAGCTGTTTACAACACTGTTGGTTTTGGCAAACATGAGTTGCAATAAAACAAGGGAAAGGCACATCCCTTTGAAATGTAAGCACAATGAGAACAAAGCTCTTCTGCTGCCCAATTTGTGAACTGTAGCTAAAAGACACTGGCAATCCTAGATTCTCTCCCCCAGATTGTGAAAGCTGGGTGGATAATGCAGGAATCCGGGTTTAGAAAGACAAACTTTAATGGCAAAGCTTTGCAATACTAAGTTCCCTCAGAAAGCAGGAAGAGGAACTAATAAGTTGTGTTTTGATGAGTAATACTGTCATAAATTACAAAGCATGATATGATGGTCAAAGACATCAGTCTGTGACTCACAAGACCTTTGTGCGAGTATCTGCCCCACCAAAGACTTCCTGTCCAACACTGGACAAGTCCTGGTCTGGACAGTCAAATGAATTACAGCAAGAAAAGAGGCAGATGATAGCTGTTCTCACAGTCTTACCTGGGGCAAGAGAAAACCAAACCATGGCAACTTGCCCCTGAATGAAACTGGGCTAAATTGCCCCATCTTACCCCAGGGTAAAAGCAGGCAGACAGAGTCTCTGTGGAGGTGGTTCCCAGTAAGTCCCTGTCCATTTTAAATTACTACAATTTTGTCATTTGCACATATCCTTAGTGTCCCGGTGCCTCAGTTTCCTCTCTCTAAAATACGGATAAAGGCAACTGATTTTGATATCAGTTGGTTTGGGGGGATTGTCACATCACACAGGCTCTCAGGGGCCCTGCTGTGGATGCACAAGGTATTGGGTGGGAGGTAGCTTTTAGACGTTATACTTTTTAAGGAAAATCTTGGCCTTTAAATCTGTAATAATGAATGAGAAAGGAACAATTAAAGCCCCAAATCTGTTCTTAGAGAGACCGCATTGTCTAGTAGGCAGGATCTCCAAGTCACAGACAGTGCTCTATGTTTTATTTCCAACTCTGCCAATGACTTTCTGCTTACCTTGGGCAATACACTGAGCCTTATTTTCCCCCTCTGTAAAATGGGGACAACTACATCAGATTTTTAAAATGAAAGGTTTTTTATGTCCACAATTTTATATAAGAATTAGAGAGTATTGTTGTATCATAGCTAGAGCAAAATGTACATTGCATGGGACTTGAATAGTGGAAGGGAGACTGCAAATATTGGCAAATGGGTTACCGTCTCCTCTGTGTAACCTCCACGTAACCTCAGTAGATTATATGGTACCTTCTTATAGCAAAGGGGGCCCAAATTTCTTCTCTAAATGATAAGCCTAGGTTCATACAGGCTTCAGAGAAACACTGCCACTTCTTGGGTGAAGCATGTAAACTTTAAGAGGGCCAAGCAACAGCTAGTAGTTTGGGGAAGGACCTGTTGCTGCCATGTCCATCTGAACTCTAACTGATGGCACATGCCAGTGGTCTCTCTCTCACCTGTGACTCTAGGCTTTCCAAAACAGATTCATATTGTTGTTAACGGCCTTCTTCATACGCTCTGCTCCTTCCCTCTGGCACATCATGTAGGTCCATTAGTACGCCAGTCACCTCTGCTTTTGGAAGAATATGTGATAAACTACATGGTTCTGTTCCCTGTGTACTTCGGCCAGAGCAAAGGTTTGTCAGAAGGAAAGAAGCAGACGTGCTGGTGAAAAGGAAGGTATGCGTGTAGAAGATAACCATGTTCTTTATGAATGCTGTGAGCCAGAGCTAGAAATGTTGCAGGTGAGCAGTTCATCTCCCTGGCGTTCTGCACTCTGTGCTGAAAATTGATCCAAGTTAAGGCCCTTTCGGAGACCTGCTTCTACTTACCAGCCCCAAGTTGGTTGGCAGGGCCCTGATATCTCAGGGATTGCATCTATCTAATCACACCTCAGCCTGGGCAATGTGGTTAGCAGGGCTGACAAAGCCTCTTTTCTATTAGTTCTTGTAGCTGTGCAAGGCACTGGTGCCAGAGATAAAACTGAGCCTGAACCTTGCAACCATCAGAGATCTTTGCCAAATTCTTCTGTTCTCACAGGTCTTCTAATATACCATGTGAAGACTGGCCCCTACCTATATAACTACTGGAACTTCGAACTACTGCTAGACTTCCCGTATATGACTTGCTTTAGGGGGCAGAGAGAAGGGAGAATTTCACTCTTATCCTGGAAGGAGCGGACGTTACACAATGGCTGTTAGAGGTGTCAAGGATGGACCTCTGGGAGACATTAGCTGTAAAGCAAGAAGGGTAGGAGATTTCTTCAGAGCGCTCCTTCCCTCCACAGGCATCCAGAAATGGAGCACAAAGGCCAGCGCTATGTGGGAAGGACCTATTCACTACTACCCCAGCCTGCTCTGATGGCACTGAGCAGTGACAACATGGCTGCAACGTGATACCGTATCTTGACATGTCAGCTTTCAGCAGATTAATCCTGCTGAATGCCAGTGAGATGACCAGGACCAGAAACTTGTTTTGTTACAAAAGAAAATAAGATTCTGGGCTGAGTAATGTAAAACACAAAGCGATATGATAGTACATGAACTCAAAGAAACATGAACAGAGAAGAACTACAGGGAATGCACAGAGCTGAGCCCTTGCTACAAAAATAAGAAGGATGCTGCTCCCCTTATGTTGGGCCAGCTCTAGAACTGCCCAGTGCTTCACTAAATCCATTGGGTCTGAAAGGCCAGATGATCCCTTACAAGAATGTGGTCATGTTATTTGGTGCTTCCATCTCCCGCTCCTCAATGACTGGAACTAGAAAATACGGAGATGTCTG